GACATTTTGTCCACTAGTGTATCCTTGGCTTAACGTTACAGGGAAACATTTTCCTGAAAAGTGTTGCGGTAAATTCTGAAACTTAATGAAGTTAAGAATATTTTAAACATCCATTAGATAATACAATTTAGTAAGATAGATTCTGTTTCGTTTTTCCGTAGATAATATGCATACACTTATGTAATTAGTGTAGTATTCGTAAATTAATAAAAAATTGTAAAGTACTCTATAAATCAGAACCGATTTCTTTTGTTGTTTGATCGACCATTTTACGAAGACAAAAAACTGTGACTTAAACCATTCGGTAAACTAATATGCAAACATACGAAGTGAGTCATCAACTTGTCATGAACTTGAACTTCAAAATAAATCGGAGAAAGTAATTCTACAATCGATTAACGAATTAAATTGTTCACTCTCGTACATAATTACACATTCGTAATACATTCATGATTCGATTTAAATTCGAATAATGGAAGAATTTTCGAGATGTGATTTGCGGTTGATGCGAATAAATTAATTTTGTTGCCAATTCAAATATAATTTTATGAAAGTGTTGTTCACAGTTCCTGTTAATTACTTGTTGATTAAGTGTTTTTAACATATTAATTGACAGATCTCTTTAATTAAAAAAAAGTATTTATTTGTGGAAATACTAGCTTGTTACCCGTCGATACAATCGCATGTTTAAAGAAAAACCTTTTCTATGTCGCTCTCCGCCCTATCTCCAAACATAATTTTCGAATTTCTAATATAAAACGAGGATATAATAAATAAGGTGATCGTTAGCCCACTATTCCCGGTTGAACAAGTCAAAAAATACACATGTGAAAACAAACATTTTTTATAAATAAACGTTATTATTCCGTATCATAAATGTTTGGTATACATCCAGGTTCACTAACCGATTTGATGCTATTGAATAATAAATAAACAAGTTCACTGACATATAAATCTAGATTTTTATCTACCCAGCCACAAAAATATAGTCGCATATAAAGCTATACTCTACATACGACTGTTGCCTACGTCATGCCAAACTTTTCGCTTGCGTCACGCTTCGAAAGTTCGGGAACCTTTCGACGTGCTCATACAGTCGACGCCACTTAATGACGTCACATCAACGCCATATTTTTTTAAACGAACCGTTTATTCTGTAAATTCAAATTACGAAAATGTTCTATTAGTTTTCTGGAATACTGAATTTAAGTTACAAAAAGATTATTAATTATTATAATTTATTTAATGTATGTAAAATGTATTCGGAATAATTAAAATAACACATTTTTTAAATACCACATAATAATATTAAAATTCGAAATGAAAACTGCAACACCGGAATTAAAAAAGAACATTATAATATTGGCATTTCAAAATTAGAATTCAATCCGAATAGTTGTCAACGTAAAAGTTTACATAACTTTAACTAACACAGTACAATTTTTTAACTAAAACACATTAAATGAGACATTATGTCTGTTTATTTGCATAATTTGTACTAATCTTAAAATATTTTGGCCTAAATACGATCAAAACATTCTGATATTGAATATGAATCAATGGTTCGCGTAATATATTCACATTTGACACAGACACATAGTGTCATCAGCCATGAGAGAACAAATTCATGTCAATGAGGTCCGTGTATGTGGAAATAATTATGGCAATATTTATAAACATATTGATGACTTGCGTTATGCTTGTTTCTACCTTTTCACTACTTATTTTGTAAATGTTACGAAGTTAATGATCTCTTCATTAATCTGTTATTATTGTTGAGTATCTAAGCATGTAGGTGGCAGTTTATAGATATTAATAAGAATTGTGATTTTGAAATTTTTTGTAGTAATATTATTTCGTTAGGCAAGGTCGCTGATGCGAGTACCTAGCTAAGAGGCTTCGATTTTCGGGTCAGAAATTTCTGAGTTATAATATCACGGAATTTGCAAACTGTGCCCGGTATCACACTAATATAATAAATGTGACAGTTTCTTTGTTCGGATGTCTGTTCGCCAATCACGCTAAAAGTACTGAACGGATTTTGATAAAATTTGGCTGGGTACGTTCTGATTTAGGTGATAGGATACTTCTAATTCTGATTAATATTCTACACGGACTAAGTCACGGGCAACAGATAGTATGACAATAATTTTATTACATTACAAAAGAAATGGTAAAAAGCAGGTGTTTCATTTATATGCCTCTAGTTAACCCGTCGTCGGCGATTTAGGGGCAAAACGTTACATTATATTATATAGGACAATACTATAATATTTAACTAGGTAACAAACAAAAACTTTACGATGAGACATAGGTACATAAGTATATTCGTAAACTAGAAGGCGATGAAGAATGATGATGATACTGATGACATTGACAACAAAAGCATTTTAATCGAACATCCAAATGATCTAAAATCGTGACGGATGCATTCCATACAATAATATTCCAATGTTAATGGACTGTACTATATAACACCTATTTGTAAAAGTATCAATTGTTTAGGTTCTAACCTTGAATTTAAATGCTTTGTCGTGATATCTTGATGGATATCGTCTAGTCATGCTGTTTTACAATAAATAGGGACGGTCAATAATGGAGACACTTTTGTTTCTTCAACCAGTGCTCTAACAATAGAGTGACAAGTTGGCAAATGCCACAGGGAGCTGGAAGGGGTTTTCATCTGAACTTTTCTGTTTTTTATTCGTAACGAGCTTCCTTGTGCGTACTGCTAAAGAGTGGAATTCTTTGCCATGGTCTGTATTTCCTGAAGGGTATAACCTGGGAGTCTTTAAGGCCCGAGTGAATAGGTTGCTTATGGGACGACGTGCCCCATCGTAGACCGCATCATCGCTTACCATCAGGTGAGATAGTGGTCAAACGTCGCCCCATCAAATATAAAAATAACGAGGCCTCATCCGATGAATTTACTACAGGCCCCGAATAGTATAGTGTATGAATGAAGTCTGAGATTTGTGTCTTGTGGATTACCTGTCTTACGGGGCAGTAGCTACTGCATGGTCCTCTTATTGAGGTCTTTACCGTGTCCGTGTACCTCTTTTATAGTGAACTGTAAGGTAGCTTAGGATAACACGCCGATTTAATATCAATAATCTTATTCTTACTAACCTCGCTACGCTTTAAGATAAAGTTTTGATTGCATGGTTGGCGCGGTGGCTGGGCAAGCGCCTGCCGCGCAATGTGTCTCGGGTTCGATTCCCGCACGTAACAACTCTTTGTGTGATCCACAGATTGTTGTTCCGGGTCTGGGTGTCATATATATTTGAACGTGTATGTTTGTAAACGCACCCACGGCACAGGAGAAAATGCGATTGTGGGGCAACGTATTAAAAAAATCGAATACTTTTATACGTAACTCAACATCTGACAATGCATAAAACATACGATAAAACTCTTACAATAGAACACCATACGCGACCCTATTAAAACAAGCTCAATCTTCATGGGTGTCATCGGAAGCAGTTTTATTGGAAAAAAATGTCCCAATTCCATGTTTTTGGGTCACGTCTACTAAGAACGTTAAAGTTACTGACATTTAACGGTATGAAGGAGATAAAATAAAGGTCTAAAGATCCGGAATCAATCTTGCTCCAATAATGTCTTCCTTGTCATTTTCTGTGTGCGATATTAATCGACTGTCACCTTTATTGCATCTTATATATATAAAAATGAATCCCCCTTTCCCTTGGTCACGGCATCACGCGTGAATGGCTGGACCGATTTCATTAATTCTTTTTTGTTTTGTTATTATTAATAGGAGAAAGTTTTAAGAAAAAATCCTAAATATCCTACGGGAATGGGAGAAAATGGGATTGCGCGTACGAAGCCGCGGGCAAAAGCTAGTAGAAGATATATAACCTATATCGTAATCACTTCGTAATAATCATCGTCATTACTTCTTCTTCATAGACATACATTTTATATTATATGTTGTCTAGCTCTACATAAGTGCATACAGCATCTTATCAGGGATTCAAAACAATGATTTTAAATTACCTTAAAACAATTCTCCACTTTATACCATTACTAAAAAAATAAACATTAATATTTTGTTCCCCAATTCAGACCAAGAGCGTTGCTAAACTGACCATTATTAAACCTGACCTACTTAATAAAACAATATTATAAGCCTTGGTATACTTAGCACCTAAATCAAAATGAACAAATTATTGATAGCTAATCTATAACAAGTGACATTACAATCCAGTACTGTTGTGAAACCGAGCTTTTAACTCCAAAACATTAAAGCTCGAAGGATTATTGGATTTAGAAATTTTATGACTGTTTTAGCTGAGTACTTTCATTATTATAAACAGAACGTCTAGTTGTAGTAGTTGTGGCATTTCTGATGCATCTGATGCAAGTTGTATGAACAAATATTGTAAGATATCGGGTTCATTATAAATCTTTTAAATTTAAGTGTGGGAGAGCTATGCTTCGGCACGAATGGGCCGGCTCGACCGGAGTGATACCACGGCCTCACAGAAAACCGACTTGTGAGTGAGGTTACCGGAGGTCCAATTACCCCGTTCCCTAGTCCCCGTCTCCCAAATCCCTAAATCCTCCACAATCCTCAAATTCCCAATTCCCAAAAGGCCGGTAACGCACTTGTAACGCCTTGGTGTTTCGAGTGTCCATGGGTGACGCCGATGGCTTACCATCAGGTGATTCGTCTGCTCGTTTAGCGGCTTATGCTATAAAAAAAACAGTTTAGTTTACGTAATTTATTTATCTATACAATATCTAACTGCCTCACTATTATATATTTTCAAAATCGTGCAATTTCCTAGATACTAATAATATAGGTGCATATGAACAAACATATATTTTTAAAGCTACTAAAAGTAGCTGGTCTTATAAACCACATACTTTTATAAGTATTGTAAGACAAACTCGGTAAGGTATTAAATTAAGTTTAGGGTTAAGTAAGAATCAAATCTATGACTGGAAAACTAATATCGCCTTTATCATTGTTACAGCTCTCGCGCTATGCGCATACGCAGCCGAAATGAAGGAGACAGAAAAAGCAGCAGAGCCCGCGTTGAACAAGGACAAGAGACAGACGCAAGAGTTCGCACACGTCGGATATAGGACAGCACGCAAACAGGTTAGTGGTAAAATTTCAATACAATCTTTGTAATACTTTTTGTCATGAAAAATTAGCTTCAATAACAAAATAGGACTTTCTTTTCTCTCGGGGGCCTTTACAAATACAACATAACATAACATAACATCACGCCTTTTATTCCCGTTGGGGTAGGCAGAGGTGCACATTACGGCACTAAATGCCACTGTACAATGTAACACCTACTTTTCACTTTTTATGTTATAAGTCCCATGTAATAGGGGGTGAGCCTATTGCCATATACCGGGCACATTTCCAGACTCGGTGTTACTACTGAGGTTTTTACAAACCCAGTAATACTTTGCCCGACCCGGGAATCGAACCCGAGACCTCTTGACCAGCAGTCGCACTTGCGCCCACTCGGCTAACGAGGCAATCACAACGGCCAACGAGGCCTTTACAAATACTAATTTCATTTCACATTTATAAAACACTCAGATTTACAACAACAATTTGTGGATCGCACTAAGAATAATAGTTAGAACCAGTGACACATTGCCCAGCATGTGATTGTCTATCCATTGTGCAGTTAAAGTAACAATTTACGATAGCAAGGCATTGAGGTCGATTCCCAACTCTTTGAGAAATTCTAGTTAGTGGTAACACATCATATGCATACTTTTATATCGTCACAACATTGCTATTGCTAAATGTACCCCATGCAAGTGTCTTTAAAGTCTCAAATCTCTAAAATATAACCTTCTATTTACAAAAGAACAAAAAGGGTCTTGCAAAGAAAATGTAGGTCACCACAAACCTCTAATATTCAACTAATTAACGCTCTCATAGGAATGTGAATGGAATCTTCTGAGAATTTAGCACCGTTTTAATGCAAGAACTTATATGATAGTCAAGGGAAAAACTCGTTCAAGCAGAAACTATTTTTAAGTAAACAAGCTGCATTTGGCAATTGAACATTTTAGTAAATAATAAAGGACATCTCCTAAATGAAAGGTCTAATATAATATGATAAGAGTGCCAAAGCAGAAAAATAGGTCAGCTGACTGAGTGAGAACAGCCTATTCATCAATTCAGAGACGCTGTAAATTATATAATGTACGCAAAATCTTACATTCACAAATAACCAAAACGCTACATCATTTAAGCCATTATGAACCTTATAACCCCTAGTGTAATTGACTAAAATTTTGTGTAACGAATTCATTACCTAGTAATTTCCGTGATCATCATTTTCCAAATTAACGTTGCATTACTAAAATAGTGTATCGAGAGAGTAGAAAAATTATGAAAATTTTATATTTCCTATTCCGCGTTTCATATAACCGGTAGTGATATGTTTCATGTCAATAGCGTATAATATTGACCGGCAGCGAATTAGTGGGAAACGGAACACCAAATACGTATAGACGACAAACTAAATACCTGTAATTATGTCATTTTAACTGTAACGGTTATTTTATAACTTGCATACCGCTCGCGCTCGCACGCAGCGACCGATACCTTCACTTGTTTTAAGTGGCTCAATATTATCTTCAGAAGATTTTTACTTTTAAATAACTTGTTATTAAGACTTACTTATTTAGTAAATTATAAGTTAATGTACTTGGTAATTTTATGAAAACAGACTTTTTGGTAACAGACGGTCACTAATGATTATGATAATAAGGACTACGTTCTCTGAAATAAAAACAAAACAGTATTAACTAATTCTCCGATATACACTTATTTCGTAATCTTAAGTTCTGAAAACCAAAAAATAAATACAACGATACTTTCAAAATTAACACTGTAACGACACCTTAAATGAATGTTTAACCTTCGAATCTCAATAAAAGTAGATAGGTACAATTAAATTCATAACACCTGGATTATAAAGACCCTTTCGGTGAATGTCTTGTGTTTGAATAATTCAACATGGACCGTGGGAAACCTTAGGAGGACATTCAGACAAGATCTACATGCCATGACGAATGCAAACTTCAGTGTACCTGTAATAAGGAAGAGGTTTTGTGAACGAATGGGTCCTAAGTAATGACCTTGCGGTACTCCCTCTACGGGGTTCCCATCAATCTCAGAACACGTGCAATAAGAACTAATAGCCACTTATCCCTTGAACCCTGAGAGATATACGCTACATTTTTGTGAAACATTTCTTTACAAATAGTTTGTTTCTTACGTACTATGTACGATTTCGTCAATCAAAAGCCAATGAAAGTTCCCCGAATACTAATCTGTTATTGCATATCCAATTCTATTTTCTGCCATTGTAAGCACGCGCGATAAGTCCTAATAGGTGTGTAGATCTGTACACGCAGATACCCCCATTGATATTCCCATGCGATATTATGTAAATGAGTATAAAACATGTATCAGCTGTTTCTCATCTCAATAATGTTGTAAGAGTTCTTCTGTTACTTATAGTGATGTTAACTCGGTTATTACAATCATACGAGCGGCAAATCTCCATTGTGATAAAAGTGTTCAATATCCCATCACATTAACAATTACATTGAGATAAGAGCATCTGTTGTTACAGTTTGATAATTATTTTCAGTTTATGTAACATCCGTTATGGTCCTCACTTCATGTATTTCAATATTAAGTAGCCATTGCATAACTTTTTCAGCAATTGATTGATCATGTATTAAGAATCATGTCTTTCGAGACAAAGAACCACATTATTGTACCCAAGATCCCATCATACCAATAACCGGTACTGTTCTCTTGGTAACTAAAATGAGTCAACTCCGGATCATGTCCTAAGTTACCCTTTCACTCTGGTGCCCTACATTTGGTCACGACCGGCCAGTCCTTAGGAACGGTTAGTGTGCCGAACACGCTACCAATAAATAGTTATTGTATTACTATTTGTAGCAGATAGACCATGTTTACAAAATCTCGAGAGGAAATTGTTTTACATGAGTGTATGTGAGAAGAATATATTTTGTTTTCTAAGTTTTCGGACGATGAACTTGGAATACTATTGTTTTTCTCTTGTGTAGTATTTTCTGTCTCGCTGAATTCTTAAATATAGGGCTTGGAATACCGTTTTGTTATTTTTTCGCTTCCAAAGTTATTTTTTGTTTCTTTTAATGCGTCATTTAAATTATTTTCCATACAAAACAACGGTTTGTACTGGTGTCCTCAAAATAATGGAAATAAGACTTAACCTCAGATGGTATTTAGGTTTAGCATTCATCATATTTGCCCCTTAATTAAAGTTTTGTATATCTTAACATGAGCTTGTGAGGTTTACGACGGGAAGTTTAAGCATCTTTACTTGTAGGTAGGTTCATAAATAACATCACGAGTAAACGATCGACGATACATAAACATATAATGTAACCGGGTTTAAGGTAATTTGTGTCAGTCTAACAGTCAAAGTACTGCCTCATTGGCTGAGTGGTCGCAAGTGCGACTGCCGGGCAAAGGGTCTCGGGTTCGATTCCCGGGTCGGGCAAAGTATTGGGTTTGTAAAAACCTCAGTACACACAACCAATTAATACCTGTCCGTGTTACGGAGTCTGGAAATGTGCCCGGTATATGGCAATAGGCTCACCCCCTATTACATGGGACTCATAACATAAATTATAGTGAAAAGTGGGTATTACATTGTACAGTGGCATTAAGTGCCGTAATGTGCACCTCTGCCTACCCCTTCGGGGATAAAAGGCGTGATATTATGTCAGTTATGTTATTCTAACAGTCAAAGTATTAAACCTGACTAAAGCTGGCTGTAACCTTCCTAATATTACATAAAGTACTTAGATTTAAATCACAATAAACCTCGAAATCATTGTACAAATACAAATATCTAAATGATCTTTTGATTTCAATGTTTAATTATGTGAAATTAGAGACAAATTGCAAAGATAACCTATCGGCTTGAAATGCCATGATTACCCACTTGCCTTGCTGACCTAAGGGTCAAGTAAAATAGCTAGAAAATGTTTGTATAAGTTAGTTTGTACCTTTTCATTTCTGACAATAATAACTAATGTTGTTACTTTATCATTTTACTATATTATCAGTGGAAATTGATTAGTTTTGTGATGGTTATATTCGTATCTCTTGTAGGGTCAAGTAATAGTATGTTTCGACTGAATTATCTATTACTGGAAAGGACTCATATCACAATAGAGAGATATTAATAATATCTGTAACTCTGAATATTAAGTAGCCTTAAATAAAATGTATAGTCCTGTAGTCGATTCTTGTGATACCTGCAATAAAAGCAAGGAAAGTAATAAAGTATTGTACCTTACTATAACCACAGGGTTGATTAAAAACAATTAAGTACTTATTAAAGAAAGAGACTTTATTTATTTATTGGTTGACTAACTATTCCAAATAGTTCTAATGTTAGGTTACACGCAACAAATACAAACTTTCGTGTTACAATCACTTAAAGGTAAACATTACATGCATAAGGAGGTTGTACAAGAAAAACAAAAGTAAACAACTTAAAATTAACAAATAATAACTTACTTTAATTTGAGATTAATAATAAATTAAGATTAATTAGTTCAAATGAAATCCATAAAGCAATTCAATTATAAAAACAATAGGTGTCATGTGAGAGTTGCCCATTCCATCAACAAGGGAAATATGAAAGTCATAGAAGATATTTCAGCAACGTTCTGCTTAATTTAAGTAAGTAGGTACTTAAGCTGTCAAAATGAAAGTCAATTTTTATCACTATAGCTGTTTATTATTTTGCAAATAGATTGTAGGTTTACATTCTATGTCTACTCCTTTGATGAAAAAATAGCGTGATTGGACATACTTTCTTTTTAACAAGATTTTGGGCGAAATATCATTTGTCGTAGCTGTCAAGGGCTTAGAAATTTATTGTTGAAAAACTCGGATTTAGCGACTGCTTAAAGTGTGTAGAAAGTGATAAATGACAACGATTATTCTAAGCAACAACGACTGATGTTAATCGTGAAGAATACGCAGGCATATTGTAAAAACAATTGTTTATAAATGAACTGTAGGTACCTTTGTAGGCAAAGGCAAAT